TAATTAACTCATGATTAATGTCCAATACTACCACCACATTTTCTTGTTGTTCACCCATGTAAATCATCACAAAGCCAAATAACTATATATCTTCAGCTTTTATACATGCCAGCTTTCATGTCAGGATTGGTGCCAGTCGGTCCCTGTTCGATGCGTAATGTTGTCGTTTGGCCAGCAGGTGTTGCTGCCTGTCCTGTTCCCTCCTCTGTCCTCTAGCCCCTTAGCCCTAGTGCTTTGCTATGTTTTTCAGTTTTCAGTTTGTGCGATGTCTCCCAATTTCCATGTTCATTTACTGTTATTGATTTCACCGGTTGCTCGTGGTCCCTGTGCCTTCCTTGATTTGTTAGTTTGATTATGATTTACGGCAGTTCCTTGTTTGCCCCAGTGTTCTATGTGTATTTAAATACCTGCCCTCACTCTCTTCATTAGTCAGTCATTGTGTTAAGTTACTGCGTGTTTGTTGCTCTGTTTTATTGCTTACTTCTGTTCCCTGTGTTGCACTGTTCCCTTGTTATGTTACTTCATGTTAGTTTGTTCTTGTTTCCCTCATTGGTATTCTGACCCCTCGCTGCCCTTTATTTTTCGCCTTCCTCAGTGGTCTTAGTTTCCTTAATAAACCCCTTTTGTCTTGCAGCCGTCACATGACATGACTGTGAGCCTATAGGCCTTGCAACTGTTTTCTGAGTAGCTGATTAAAAAAGTAAAGAAGCTGGTCTCAAACAAATGTAGGTTTTCTTTCCTGCACTTAGAGGTATTAAGACCCTTTTGAAGTCTGAAGCGCTTAAGCTTTTGCTGTAGTTCTTATGTTTAATACTTTTCAGAGCTTGCTGTCCATTTTAGTGGGACCCTTTTGGGAAGAAGGGTAACAAATAGGTGATAACCCTGAATTTTATTACAAAATACTTGCAGAAATGTTCCATTTCGATGGCAGTAAAAACCCTTAATTTGCGTCTTTTAGTTATAATTATGTACCTAATTACTGAAGATGAGTGAACAGATAGGTTTTAAAGAGTTGTTGCAGACCATACTGCCTGCAGATATCTTGCCACCTTGGACTACACCCTATTATTATCACGCAATGGAATGAAGCCTCATTCACTCCAATAAATCGATCACATTTCCTTTGTTGCATGAGCTGCCGAAGTTGAAAACATTCCTCATGTTTACACCACACACCTATATCGATGGATCAGGTATTCCCGCCTTCAGCGGTATGAGGCGCAAACTGAGTGACTCAGCTGCAAAGTATGTCCACAAAACCAGATCGCGGGCAATAGGAATTCTGACTTCTTTTACATCCATTAATAAAGCAGCTTGTCTGGTTGTCTCGTTTTTCTGTTTACCCTTTAAAAACATGTAATTTCTGCAAGACAGGTTTGGTTTCCACATTTGGCCGTTTGTGCATATATAGCGTCATTGTCAAACAAGCAGTCGGCAGAGAGGAACACTTCCATTCTGGTTCTGGAATGTCTAAGGGCACTTCCCAGCATTCCATATAGCCCTGGTCAATATGGTCAATACGAATCAAAATATGAAAAAGTAACTAGTAAAACCACCATAAGATAAGAGTCATTACGGTCACTGCACAGGGCAGTGAAATGTCATTTAGCAGTAAAGCCAACTGGCAGTTCAGCATATATAACATGGACAGAAAAGGACAATATATATAGAAGCTCACATGTATAAACATAAAAACACACAATATACAAAGTACTAGACCAGAAATATATGTACAGTATTTGTGTAACAGTTTTAATTATGACAACTGTGATTAATAGTCATTTTAAGGAATCAGGTTACATTACCAAGGATGAAGTAGGATCACCAGCCGCCAGGTCAGTACTGAGACGATCAGCCACGCCTGGGGTTTGCTCAGTGGGCAGAGTCTCCCTCACGCCCTTTTCATTTCCCTGTGATTCCACCTCTGGCTGTGAAGATGATGCTCAGGGCAAGAACCAGCTGAGTGACCTTCCAGCACTGCGGTCAAAACCTTCAGGGTATCACGCACACTGTCAGAAAAAAAGCACCAGTTTGTACCTTTGCTTATCGCTTGAGCTATACACTCAATGGTCTGCCAATTGTACCCTAGTTGTAGGTAAATGTACCCTTTAGGGTAATTTAAGGCACTGAAATGGACTCTGAGCAACATTACCAAGGTACAAACAACATTAATGTACTCCCAATGATACAAAAATGTTCCTTATAATTCATCTTAAAAGGTACAATTACCTGCAGCTAAGGGTACAATTGGTAGACCCTTGAGGGTACAGCCCCAGTGACAAGTAATTGTACCCTCAAAGGTACAAAGTTTGCAGGAGCATTGCCAGTGATGTTTTAGGGGGGTTTAGCGCCAGATCAATACACATCTACGTTGTCTTTAATTTCACAGACACTTTAGCCCAAAGCAATGTACCAGCGAGGCGAATAGCAAATAGAAATATATGCCTGTTGAGGAGTTGACTAGGTGTAAGTGCAGCTAGGCTGAGCTTCCAATGAAGGCCCAGGTACGAGTGTAAGCAGCGCTGGAGCAAGAGCAAAAACAACATCTTGCAAACAAGGAAAGAATCTAATTATACTATATAATCAGTGATTGAAGTGGGTCGGTACTCACTGGTATGCAGTACCAGCGCCTCCTTGTTTTTCTCGTATTATCTGATTGTACTGAATAACAAGGCGAGTACTGACACCTGGTACTGAATAACAAGGCGAGTACTGACACCTGGTACTGAATAACAAGGCGAGTACTGACACCTGGTACTGAATAACAAGGCGAGTACTGACACCTGGTACTGAATAACAAGGTGAGTACCTGTTTTCCCCACTTTAAGCACTGTACAGTTATGTGTTATAAATAAATGTACATAAATAAATTTAAATGGTGTGTTCTCAGTTATTTTTTATTAAATCCCCCCCCCCTCACTAAAGAATTAGCCCCCCTTTTCATAAATCATTAGCAACGTTCCAAGTATCACCCAATTTTCACCTGGAAAATCATGGACTTTTTAACCCGGAAAAGGGTTAAAAAGTAGGGAAGAGGTGAGTCAGACGGGCCTGCAGGAATGCAGAGAAAACGACACACAAAACAGTGTGAGGAGACTCCATGTGTCACCATGTGTCACCCTGTGTCACCACATGTCCTACCCCTCAGCCGCTGGCCGTGTTGCAACGATGACAAATGTTCATGGGACAAATTGTCCGGTTTGCCTAATGACACCTAATGACTAGCATCAGAAACAAAAAGTTGCCCACTGATTTGAAAAAAAAAAAAAACACTCAAAGGAACCTGAAAAGTGCACAAACCATTAGAGAAAAAGAGGGAAGTGTCAGCTGCTCAGTGTCAGGCTGGAGATTCTGTAAAACAATAAAGATTCCCTTTCAGTCTGAGAGTTGGGGGGGAGGGGGCTGTGTTTATTGTATCATCTGCCTGACATATTCTTGAATTTTCAAAACTTGGGGAGGGGTTCTTAGGTTCTTAGAGCTGTATAAGGACAATAGCATTAAGACACTAGGTTCTTATATATTGATGCAAAAGTCAATTACCACCTGTGCATAGTAGCAGAGCCAATGAAGATTTAATTTTTTTTCTTTGTGCAAGTAATACCCTGCAGATTTCATACATAACAAGCCATCGTCATCATTTGCTAGGGTGCAATGCCCTTTGATGACCTGCATCATGAGAAATGTTAATACCAGTTAAATATTTAGCTTCTATTTCATTGCACGGCATTCTATTCCAGAAGCCCAGTTAGTAACAGCAGCGCATTTATCACGCAGCAGCTCCGGCCAAGTAGATGCAGAGTGTGCTGCTTACACAGAGACGCCCTGAAGCTCGAATCGCGGCCACTTGTGAAACCTTCCCTGTGCGTCAGGAGCCTCCTAAACGTCAAGGAGTCAACCGCCCTCGCCACGAACGATTTTTCATTTTGTCAAAATGATGAACACGTATGCGTATCATGTGTCACCTCTCATAAAGAACATGGTATTTAAAATGACAGCCATAAAAAGTGACAGTCAACCATGACCTACGAAGGAGTGTATGGATTTTTATTAGTTTGGTGACAGATTTGAAAGTGAGGTTTCTCTTCTTTCTAAAGAGCTTGATTCTTATAAAGATGATTTAGAAATCGTTAACAGGGATTCCCCTTCTGATGATCTTCTCCAACACTGAATGCTCCTCAGTTTCCTGGAGCAGCCAAAAAGAAAACTGTCTACTGTTGAACTTGGGGTTGGAAGGCTTGATAATGAGTTTTTATACATACAACATACACAAAACGGGTAAAACTATTTATCACATTTGCAAACAGGACCCACGTCTGAGTTTATTATTGTACATTGGAAAAACAGGCCTATATATTTCCACCTGCGGCATAAAAACAGGATATAGACCGTGCAGGGCAGAAAGGAAAACATGCATACAGGTTGGAAAAATTATTTAACTAGTTAAGCAGTTAAAAGCTAACTTTCAACCTTCACTATGAGAAATAAAATACATGGCCTAGTAGATAACACAGAAAAAGGCAATGTTATTGTAGGTAGAACAGAAGTAAATACATAAAAAATCTCTTTCTATTGTTGTTTGTATGAATATACATACAGTACACATCCACATTCTAAAGCTGGTAGCTTAGAAACAATTGCGGATGTCTACTTTTTATGAGAGGAAGCTGCTGCGTTAGTCATCCCCATTTCCACGAGGTTTTTGTCCTTTTATAGTGCAAAGCCTTGTGGTTTGGTGGTTTGCTGCATTCCAAACACATTTCCTAACACTGGGGACGATTGAAGGCAATACACTATTTATGAGTGAAACATACAGTGCGTCCGGGGTAACCATTTATAAAATTTGAACAAAAACGTGCTTTAGTTGCCCAGACTTTTTGTACCATTTAATGAGGTTCATCATTCGAGGAACCGGATTTAGACACCCGTTTCCGCCCACGTTTGCGCTTACTTCCACAGGCAAAGGGGGAAGTTCATGAACCGCCCCTTCCCCCGGCTCCTGGCGAGCTTAAGTTATTATTCAGCGCCCCGCCAGACAGTGACTCCATTCAAGAGCGGGGCTTCTTAGTTTTTACCGAGATCCTGCCTATGGATTTTCAAAAACTTGCAGAAGACTCAGAGGATAGTTTCTATTATTATTATAATAATCATTTTAAAGCTATGGTTTGTATCAATTAATGTTTGTACTTTGTCGAAATTTCAGTGTTTACCCGTTTTAGAGTTTAAGTGATCTTTATTTGCACTTTATCAATACTTGCGATTAGGCAACTGAAAACCACCGCGCATTTATTTTCCGTAAAGCTTCGCGACGGGTATTTTTCCGTCGGTAAAGGCGCACTCCGTACAGTCAAAAGTGAAAAAACGTTTTTAGCCGGTTACGGAATTGCGGGGAGTCCCAAGGAATGGAGGGGAACCGGGGAAGATTCCCATATGTCATGTGACTGAGGTGTGCCCTGTTACCTGGTCTGCATCATCGGCATCAGAAATGTGGAGCATGAGATACGAGTTAAGAAACTAAGACTGATGTGGTAAAGTGTGGTTCTTACAGTATGATATCGCAATATAAGACGTCCTGCTGGAGTTTCACTCACATTACTGGTACAAATAATCTATTTGGAGCCACATGTTGTTTAACGAGGGAACAAAGAAAGCGGATTTTCTTCTTTTCTCTGATCACTCATTACTTGATCTCAGGTGGGATATTTCATAAACTGTAAATTGCTTTAGGACAGCAAAGTTTCCGAAACCATGGCTTTGTCTCAGATCCAGTGTCTGGACGAACACAACGTTAACATGCGGACGAACGAGACCAAGCCGGAGTTCTTCTACAGCGAAGATCAGAGACTGGCGCTGGAATCGCTCCTCCGGGACGGACGCGACGCCTTCGACAAATACATCCATGCACACAACTTGCGAATGTTTCTGTCCGACCTCGAGTTGGAGCATCTGACAGGGACCGCGGAGGTTTACGACCCGGGATCTGATCATATGAAAGCAAAGGGAGAGGGTGGCAGCGACGATGTGGAGCCGTCACTCCAGTACTGGCCGGAGCGCTCCGATTGCTCGATACCAGACCTGGATATCGGGTGGCCGGACTTCGTCTCCTACCGAGGAGTGACCCGGGTCAATGTTTACACGCAGCCGCCGATGGAAGGACAAGCGCACATTAAAGAAATCGTTAGGAAAACCATAGTGCAGGCGCAGAAGGTATGAATATTGTGTTGTGTCAAATAATATGTCTGTTAATTGGATGCCCTCATCCGTGTGGTTGGATGATATAGGCTTCCGCGTGTTAGTAGTTGGTCATGATGAAATTGCGTTAAAGTTGCCTCTGATCTGTTTCAGCAATACTGTAAAAACTGCAGCCGTAAACAACACGGTCAACTTTGTATTGCTTTTCATTCCTGAAAGACAAAAACTGTATTTAGACTAAGATGCGTAGAATATTTTGTCGAGCCGTCGTTGTGTAAATGTTCTTGGAAACAATAAGAAATCGAAATATAGCAATTTAACATCTGGGCCCTTTACCCATCCTCCCCCCCCCCCCAAAAAAAAAAAAAAAAAAAAATAAAAAAATTTAAACCCGGGGCCCCTTCCCCCCCCCCCCCCCCCCCCCAAAAAAAAAAAAAAACACGAATTATCCCTATTAACTTAAAAAGGAAAAAAAAAAATAATGCAAAAATAATAAAACATTTAAATGGACTTTATTATGCAATTGCATTCATGTTCATAGTCATATGCTCCACATCGTTTTACGTTTTATGGGCCAGTTAACAAATGAAGCCCATTCTCCAGCGGACCGGCAGACTCGCCCCGTTATTTCCTGTTTTTTTCATTATATGCTTGACCGCGGCTGCAGACTTCCAGCTTAAAATGTGTGACCTACTTTTCACACGGACAACAATGTGAGAACAGTGATGACGCCGATATCAGCAGGCTAATTGTTGTTTTATATTTCGCTAAAGAAAACCGACACATGTGGTATTACATTTTTTTTTGCGGGTGCGTTTGCATTATGGAGAAAAAAATGTGTCTAACTTAAAGAAAAGAAATATGAGGTCAGGTGTCTGAATGTAACTCCATTTAGTTTGATCTGTAAAACGATTCATTTTTTTCTTCACAGGTCATTGCTGTTGTCATGGACCTGTTTACAGATGTGGACATATTCATTGACCTACTGGACGCCGCCTTCAAAAGGAAGGTGGCCGTTTACATTATCCTGGAATCCACCGGAGTGCCGCACTTTCTGAGCATGTGCAGACGGGCCCAAATGCACAAGGGACACCTCAAGGCATGTCGCTATCTTCCTCAGCCAAACAAAATGCTAGCTGGCCAATTCCACACATGGCTTTCATTATAAACAGATGGGAAAGTGCTTTCTAGACATTTTTGATTGTTACTGTTCCTACTTGAAAAAAGTAGTTTTTTCTAATCGGTAAGGAAATTTGGTAGCTAAGCCGCTCTGAGCCAGGCTTGATTGTTGGCCGTATAACTTGCTCCTGTGCTATTTGCTGTTACGCTAGCTGGTCTCGCGTTTACATCCTGTCTGGAGCTCCTGGCACTGCCTGGGACATTCCTAGTGATTGAGATCTTCTGCACATCTTGGACGTTCCTGTTCCACATAAAGAAAAACAGAAAGCGATGTGTCAGATTAAGCGACCACCACCCTTAGCTTTTGGTGCAGAAATCTTGATGAAAGACTTCTCTGGCGTAGAAATCCAGGGCGCAGCCAGCTCTCCCAGATGAGCTGGTCTGTTGCATAAATTGCTGGTCCTTAGGGTAAATGGGAGACCCTGGGTGTGGCACCTTGCATTCATAACTTGATTGAGTGATAACAGCCGCTACTGTTTGATAGCCACACAAAACCTTGTGATAATGAGGGATTTGCACATTATTAAAATTACTAACATGAATGCCTCTGCCTTTGTCCTAAGGATAAGTGCTTTACAATCAGTGACAGTAAAGATAAACATTCTTTAACTCATTATATGTTAGACAGTTTTCCTCCAGAAAATATAGTGCCTGTTTTTTTTTTGTTCTCGTTTTAAAATTATCGTAAAGAATCGTGTGTGACACCAAGAGTAGTTCGAGAACCAAATGGACAAGTTTTACGAGGGCGATTTTAATAAGAGCTTAGTTCTTGGATTCCGGGTTGCGCAAAACCTGAGATGTTCCAGCGGAAGGCTGGTAACAATAACAATGCAATGCAACTTGAAACAAAGAGCCCTGCTTAACTGCCATTGCATGTGACATAAGCCCTAACCTTTGTAGACTCGTTTTGACAGTGCACCATGCCCTTGGGCCATCCACAGCACAATTTACAAGAAGCCGGAGCTCATCAACAGACAGACGCCGACAATGAGTGCGACAGATGACTTATCAATCCTTTTTTCCCAGATAGCCAGCTGCTCATGGCCTATGTAGGGTAATTCATGGCCGTAGCCTATCCATATTTCCATGGCCGTAGCCTATCCATATTTCCATTATACCGCCTACATGCAGGGCAAACCGGAATTCTAGAATGTTCCTTCTTGCTGAGTCCCATCTATCGAAGTAGAATACACTTTCAATTTTCTAATCTTTTTAATGGACATATAGCTGCAGAATTTCTTCAGCTAGGCGACACACGTGACACTTCCTGAACAGTCTTCCCAAGCATAATTCCCCTCCGAGACTGCAGTTCACTGTGTTTCTCTTGACGACTTCGTGCTTAACAGACCCACAAAACACCTGTAGGCGTTCAGCGGATCTCTGTAATGTTCTTTATCCATGTAGTTTAGCCATCATTACGGCTTTGTTCATCTAATTTCCCCTCTCGGTATTTTGGCTCAGAGTAGGGCAACTCTATATGCTGAAACCCCACCCTATATGCTATCCCCTGTCAGAACCTGCTTTTTCTCCCTTTTATACAAGTTTTCTGCATGGACGAGTGACCCAGATTTGCCAGTATGAAAAACAATATCCCCCTAGGAAAAAAAAATGCCAGTGCTTTTAAGATTTTGAAGATTTTCCTGCCTTGATCCCTCTGGATGTAATTTAGAAAGCCACAGTGCAATTGCAATACCACTGTGGACCCGTCTGGCCTTTCAAAAGTCATGCATGTGACATGGGCTTTGGCTATGCAGGACATTATTCTATTGCTTTAGACTAACACAGCCTGCATTCAGGGGAGAATGTTGCATTGGATGGAAATGCATCTGACATTGTGAAATGCTGTTGGAAAATTTTGCAGAACTCTTCAGACTTTTTAAGCTGGGACTGGCCAGTCCTTGTTGTGGTGCGGTTCAGTTTTATTTAGGTTTTCCAGCTGCACTATAACCGCATCACTAAACCACACATCTAAAGAATATAAAAAGCAAAACTGTCTTCCGTTAAATAATTAATTGTCTCAGCCGAGCATTGATTTCAAGTTTTTATTGTCAGGTGTTCCGGGGAGACACAGTGAAATTCCTGTGCCGCATGTGGAGTGGAGAGTTGCATTGGGGGATTAATAGAATATATAGCCGTACAATACAAGACAAACAGCAGTGCAGTAAAGGACGAGACAGTGCAAAACAGAGAAAAACAGGTGAAAGGGGAGTGAACCAAAAACAGGTGGTGCATCGGGGAAGGATGTGCTCATCGGTAGACAGTGGTAATAATATGCTTAGCTGGGATTAAAGATGAAAACTGGAAAATATGCCGGTTTCTGAGGAACCCAGCTGGAAGGTCATGGTTTTAAAACTAACTGTCTGATATTTTTTAAATGAAACCTTTCCTTATGCCATATCAATTACTTTCCCAGAACCTGAGGGTCCGATGCACTAGAGGGGTGGAGTTTCATACCCGATCAGCCAGGAAAGTCTTTGGGTCCTTGGCACAGAAGTTCATGTTTGTGGATGGGGACAGAGCAGTATCTGGGTCGTACAGGTACGTGCCGAGGCAGATATGAAGTCTGTCTGTATTTTGAATGATTCATAAATGAAATCATTGTATTAAACTAGTGACACATTGTATAGAAGTGTTTCCCAATCTGCTTACAGACTGCCTACATATTTGCTCCCTCCCAGCTCCCAGTATGGAGCAAAAATGTGTACTGTCTGGGTGGGGGCTTGGAGGGAGCAAAATCATGGACCAGCTGTGGGTCCCTACGGACTGGATTAGGAAATGCTGCTTCATAGCATGAACAAGGATTCAGCCTTGCTTAACCTGACTTGCTTAACTCTGATATATTCCAGTTACACATGGACAGCTTCCAGACTGGACCGGAACCTCATCACAGTTCTTACAGGCCAGGCGGTTGAGACCTTCGATAAGCACTTTCAGGACTTGTATTCGGGGTCTCAGAGTGTGGACCTGAGTGAGGTGGACATGGGGGACGAGCCTGAGCCGGAGCCGATCACGCCACCTCTCCCGGCACCGATACCTGCTGCTGTAGCCCGCAAACGCATCAATCCCAAATACGCATTGGTTAGCAGTAATCTCCAAGAGTCTGAAAGTAAGAAGGACTCAGAAAAAAACAAAGGTAGCAAAGATCCTGTGCCAAAAGTGCTCCGACCTCCACGAGAGATACCAGAGCCGATCCCAATTCACCCTGGTCTTCTGCATCTCGAGCGAATCAACTTGATTCCATACCTGCCCACCTGGCCTGAGCCTGATCCTCCGAGTGATGTCATAGGGTTTATCAACGTCCGCGACTCCAGCAAGCCCATGCACGCCTACCTCATGCGCTCCGAGCTGTTCGAGACATCACAGGCCATCCGATTCAAAGATCCCTTCGTCGTTCCAGAAGAACAGCTTCCTGAGAAGGCCTGTCCCACACAGAAACATGGCCCTCAGTTAAGCCAGAACCAATCGTCCCAACACCAAGAAATCCACAAGGAACCCGGGAACAGAGCACAAAATCTGGATCAAACAGGTTCTCCAAGGACCCAGAACCCCAAACAAATACAGTCTCAATTCCAAGGAGCCCTAGATGACCCAGTTTCTGAGGACATAGAAGGCAAAGAACCCCAACACCATGGAAGTAACACTAAGAAAGGTCTAAAACGTCTGGACCAAACAGGTTCTATAGCTGCCTTGGAACCAGAACAAACAAACTTCCAACAAAGAGGATGCGTAAAAGACCCAGGGACAAAATCTGAGACGCTGAATAGCACACCCGTCCTGGCAAAAGAGGAGACTGCATCCCCACCAGTCCCCAAACCAAGAACTATTCACCTGGTAATTGATGCAGCTACTTGTAAAGAGGTCAGTGCATTGAAGCTGTCTGAAAACCATCCAGGTCCATTGGGTGTCACTTCTTATCAGGCACCTCACAGTACTACTAAACAGGACAGTGTGTTCTCCTCAGCTACACTATCAGATGGTAGTGAGACATGTCTGGACAGAGATGATCAGAAAGAAAAACATAGAAAAATGACATCAGATGAGCACAGAGTGAATGAGTCTCCCAGGAAGGGGTCTGCTGCCTCGACGACATCTGAGGAATTTTTTGAGTGTGTTGACAGTGCCGGGTCAGAGCTGAAGCCAGGGCATTTAGTCAACGGAGCACATGCCATGTCAATTCCTGCGGAGGATGACAAGAATCCTAATGGACTGCAAGCGGTTACCCAGTTTCTGAAAGATCCACCGCTGGAAAAAGATAAAAGGTTGAACAGAGAGCTGGTTAAAAAACAGCAAGTCCAAGAAAACTGCATCTCCATAGACTCTTATGGAGACAAAATGAAGGTATGGACCCTTTTGAAATATGCTAATACAGTAGCCCCCCCCCCCCCCGCCACCCCAAATCCACAGTTTTAGTAACTGCGGTTTCAGTTATCGGCAGTTCACCACGGTCCGAAAAAAAAAAGTGAAATCTGTAATGTGTTTTCATTGTTCCTTTGTCCTTAGAGTGGTATAAAAAGCATCATTTTTATTGGTCTGTCATCCTTTGATACATGATATTTTTTCATTGCTCTATTGTCTCTTGAGAATTAAGCTAAAATGTAAGAATCCTTTTCATTTGAGAGTACAGTACTGTATAATAACGTACAAATGTACTTTACTATTACTGTATTCAATTCTGGTAATGTCCGTCTTATTGTGTGTAATTTATCATTAATCATATGTAAGTACATGAAAATTACATACACTGGTGGTCAACATTGTGGAAACACCTATAGCATTTTTAGCATTAGCTTTAAAAATTACTACACGATAATGTGTATAAACAATCAAAGAATGTTTACAAATATACATTGGACGATCAAATTAGTAACTGAAGCGACGGTTGAATAAAGTTCTGTAATATCTAAAAATTGGAAGTGTTTCCACAATGTGTGCCACTAGTATATATGTGGGGTCCACGGATAGTTCACTATTATCCGTGGTTTCAGCAGTAGGTATTGAAATTTATCACCTGCGGATATAGGGGACTACTATACCGATAAATATTAAATATAAGGTGCTAGATACCTGTCTCTCAGGTGAGTCCAGCTCCTTGACATTCTGCTCCCTGTTTTGTGACATGCTACTTGTACGTACATATCAAACATTCCCTCGGACATTAACGAACGCTTCTGTTTACAGTTTAAACATGCTTCCCGCCATTCCACGGGTAGCACTATCCCGTCCGTCCAGCAAGACCTGGAACAAGGTCGCACCAAGTCAGTGGACGAGGGACTTAGAAGAAGCCGTCGTGCAGTCAAGACAAACCGTGGCAAGGCGGGACAGAGTGACCATCTGTCTCACAATAGAGTGCATTATGCTCACGGAACCCGTGCCGGAGACGTCTCAGCTCAGATGGGCAATTCTCAGAGCTTCCTTTATAGGCTGGCCCAAGAACAGCTGGTTAAACCCAAGACTGGTAGGCTGTCAAGCCAACGCAGACTATTCCGCAGGTACCCTATGGCTTGGGGTGACAGTCGGGCCTCGTTTGGAATCCCAGTAGCTAGCCTCTCTAATTTTAAACACTTGAAAAGGAAGATCTCAAGCATTCCCCTAGAAACCATGCAAAACTCTGAAACAGTCGCAAAGCCAGCCGTACAGGAGCGGTGCTAATTACACGACAGCGGTCAACCGATCAATCTAGTCAACACCTTCACTCCCCCACGGTCAGCAACATATATCAAGCGGAATCCTTCCCTGATCGACAATATATACCATCATGACTCTTGCTTGTTTAGGATTTTTATTTTTTGGTTTAATATGTTTCCCTTTTAGTAGATACTGTTTGAACCTTGACACATAACTCTCAATCATTATACCTTGATTGACCAGGGCAGACAGTTATGGTGGCCAGACGTGGTTTCTGCTAGCAGGGGTTCGGGTGATAATCAGAAGATTGGTGCTGGGTGGTTTTGACTTATGGTGGAGCTCATAATAATGAGGTCTCCTGAATGGCAAGAAAAACAAAATGTAAGATATAACCTCAGATGATGAGTATGATTATTACGCACAAGCAACTAACCTACAGTCAACTGACTGTCGATTTAGCTTTTTGGTTAAAGTTGGTACCAAAAGCGGTGCTCTTAGGCTGTGCATTCCTCCATTCCACGTGTAGGAAATATTTTTCGTAACTCTGTTATGAAAGTCCTGAAAAGCCTAAGTGTTGTGTGATTATCTAGTCCTTTGTGTATTCTGAAGGTGACATGGAGTTTAAAGATCGAAAGTCTTTATGATAGTGAGTGGCTTGTACTTTGCCAAACCAATAATCCCCATTGTCTTTATCTGTTTGGACAGACACGTACATTTTCTGCATGTAAGAGTGAAAACAATTGAGGAACATAACGTAGGAGACACGTGAAATTTTATAGGTCACAATGCCGTGAAAATTATTTGTACACAGTAATTTGTATTGGCGTTAGCACTGTTTTTCAATTTTATTGTTCAATAAAAATGATGGTAAGAAAACAAGACTTATGATTGTATTTACAATGTAATTAGGTTGTAAAATTTGCGATCCCGTATGAAAACTGTGAATCATGTGTGTTACGAAAAATCATGTATTGTTAACCACATAAATGAGTGTTACATGTATTGCCGGTGGGGAGAGATGAGGAATTTGTGTAATGAACACTTTTCATTTTGGGGTAAGATGGTTAGGGTTAGGGTTGGCTGTATGAGTAATGCACATATGTGATGAATGACAGGCCTTGAACAAAATGGTGGCTTTTATAGTGTGAGTTACAGCTGAATATAAAAATCATGATCTGGCTGTGGATCAGGGACTGTGTCCTCAGCACATTGGCTTGGTGTCTTTGGCTCTCATAATTTAGTTTTTCCATAAACTGCAGTTCTGTCCTGCCGTTCTAACGATATAAAGACCATGGGAGGTGGCTTGGTTAGGCTTGGGCTGGGACAGTGCCCCCCCTCCCCCACACTCACACACACACCCTCCGACTCCCTTAGGTAATCCTGTGGCCCACCCAACATTTCCAGGGCCGGACCGAGGCAAAACAGTTTAAGCAAAAATATATTCCTCAATCCGGCATCTAGCATAGTTTTGTGGATTTCAACAATCAAAAGACGTTCAAGGATGCCTTTATATCTGAAAATTTTATCTGTGGGAGTTAAACTGAAAAGTTTTCAATGGCTGTTGCGTAACATGTATGTTAGACGGGAATTGCTTGAAACAAGCAATCCGTACATCCATCCGCGCCGACGAGGAGAAGCAGTGGTGTCGCTCAGCTTGGGAGGAGGTGATTATCACCGATTCTGCATGCCTATTTAGTGAATGTGCCTGCATCTGTAAAGGTTCAAATTCCTCAACCCTCCTCACTGCTGAATCAGAGGCCACTGTCTCTACAAGTTACGTCGTTCTCCCGTTTCAGTTTTGTATGTTTCCCAGAATGAGATTACAAGGTTAGTAGGTACATAGTGCTTTAGGTGCCTTTTTTATGTAAATAAGACTCCAGAAAGATGATTTGGCTTTTCATGCACCCAATTATGTGTAATTAAAGTATTGTGCTAGGTGTAAAGATCAAATATTGCAGTATGGAGTTGAGACGTGAATTTGAAATGTCATGTGCTGGGTACAATTAGGGTCTTCGATCAGTAAGACCCACCCTACCCAGAATCCTCTTCTTTGTACGGTCTTTTGACCATAAAGTCTAAATTCTGTTTGCTTTACTGTCTGGTGCTTGCTGTATTGAGATGAGAAAAACCCTGCAAGTTTATTTAAAAATGGCGGGGTACGATTACTTTTTGGTCTAAGCATAGTTTTTTTTCTTCCCCCCCTCCCCCAGCACCCTGTACCAAAGAGTGTGGGTTGATGCATCTCCAGTGGGTTTCATAGCTACGCCCGCCTCACCTGCTCTGCATCCTGCAGCTCACCTGCTTGTCCTGACAGAATGGAAGCTGATGCCTGGCACAAGTCCGCCAAGAAGCACCTGCGCAGACAAGACTTAACACCTGACTCACCCCTGCTGCAGCCACACCTTTCCACAGAGAAAATCGTTAAGCTCACCATTGTCTGCTCCACCCTGTTTGCAAAAAAGAAAAAACTGGGGTAAAAAAAAAAAAAAACCTGGATGTGCTCCATAACCACCCAAACAGCTCATGTCTCGCTAAGAACGGAATTACAGCGAAACAAAAAGCAATTTCCTGTACTTTCACTCCGGTTTTTCAAATCTCAGCTCAGATATGACCTCTAGTTGTGAGCTTTACTCGTCTTATCATCTAGATTAGGGTCTGACAGCTCAGTTCAGCTTATCATGATACTGTTACCCTTCGCTGGTCTATCAGGTGCGTGAAGTTTGTCAGAAGTTTGTCAGAAGTAAACCATCCTTCACCTCATTTTTCGGCTGTTTTGTGATATATTCAATAAATACACTGTACACTGGTAACGTGTGAATGCGAGGTCCATCATATAGGTTCTTGGTTCCAGCTTTGACACGCATCTCTGTACTAATTAAGCTCTGGAAAAGCATGCTTTTGTTGTTGTTTTTTTTTTGTTTTTGTTTTTTTTAAGAGGACGATAATAGGTGGAGGATTGCACGGGATGCCAAGCGAGTCCGTTCCTTCACTCCGTCTCTGACCCATACGCCTTCATGGCCAGATAGCTGTGCAAAGTCCCCCGGCAGTGATCACGTGACACGCGAGTAGCCAGGATGTCACAATAACCGGCATCTGGGTCGACCCCGATCACACACACGCTGGGGAGTGGTTAACGCGATTATGTGTCTTGTTGATATCCCTTCATTTATAGGGCTTGTTGGTTTGAGTTTCAGGATAATTCTATAACACTGGTATTGAACCTGAATTACTCGAAAATTGTGGTAAACTCCCATGGTTCCGTAAACACCTGTAAACTGAGCAGAAAGAAGGCACAACGAGTACTGCTGAAAGGTAAAAGGCATGGTCGGGTGTTTACATTCCGTACGTGGAGCTGACTGACAGATTCGGTCATATGATCGACGCAACACATGAATAAAGTTATTCTTCTAAAAATGATCCATGATATTATTCCAGTCAGAACTTTGGGTTAAGGCTCCCACGGCTCTGTGACCACATAATAGCAGAGCTTTTTCATCATGAGATAATTCAGGAAATACAGTATTGTGCAAAAGTCTTAGGCAGTCAAAAGAAATGTTTAAAGCAATTTATCTGACTCGTACGTGCATTTTGCTCAGAACAAAAAAAAAAAACAATTTAGCATTAGACCATATGCAAATTAAGAGTAACATGATAAAAAATAAAACTCATAAGAATCTCTTCTCCAAAAAGTTACTGATATCTTCTTGGGTGGCTAGATGATCACCGCTTCAGTTCCCAAACCTCTCCTCAGGGGCACCTCAGCCATTCCATGTAATTATTAAATTTCACCACCAGCTCATGTAATTTAATTACTTAAAAAAGTTAATGAGATATTGATTAGCCATACGAGGCGTGCGAGCGGCTGACTCAAAAAAAAATACTGGGGTGTGTGGACAGTTGGCTGGAAATAATGGAGTGAGTTTAGCAGAGGTTGTGAAATGGAGAAGCTGACACTGACAGGCCGCATGAAGATTTTTTTGCTGCCTAAGACTTTTGCGCAGTACTGTATTTTCCCTCCCTTTTCTTCATATTTTGCAACCTCCAGTTATCGACGACCACGGCTCTCGGCCCAGGTGCCTGGGTCGCACTCCATCACTCATGAACTGCTAACAAATCATACACTCATTTCCTCTGCATATCCATATAAGTGCAAGGGAACCTGAAACAGAAACTTATCACCTGGGAGGGACTGCAAAAAAAAATTATCCTATGTCAACAACTGAATTATATTGCCATTGACTATTATCCCCACCCCGCCCCTTTTAAAAGTCCAAGATGCAGAAAAAGATAAGTTTTATTGCTCTGCCATCAAAAGGTTTGCAGTTAAATTTTACCCCAGAAATAAGTACCTTGCATATTTCAATTGTTTCAACCTAAGATACAAATCACTGGGTTCTCCACAATAGGCAGAGGACCTGAAAAGCCAGTATGACACACTGCAGTCTAAAGGCGTTTGTTGGTATTTTGCGGAGTACTTTCACACAGAACACTGGCTTTCATACCGTGGCTGAAAATGCTGGAGCGACAGACCGCAATTCACATGGGCATCTCAAGCATGACCAGGCTAGTCGGGGGGGGGGGGGGGGTGGGAGGTGTGGGTAACGTCAATAAGCCCTCTGCTGCAGGAGGTCGTCCTCTAGAACAGGCCGACAGAACAAAAGGAGCAAGGCGGACAAATATGGTAGACGGCGGCTCTCAGTTCTCCGTTTATTTGATCGAACTTGCCAAAAATAAATAAGCCGTTCCTTTCGGGTTAACACTCGAAGACAATCCGGAGGTCCCTTAAAACAGGCTCCTCAAATTCTTGGTTATACGACCCTTTTAAATGGTTCACCAGAGGTCATAGCGGCCTTGTCTCTGTGGAATGGCATCTACCAAATTTTAGTCGATGTACAACAATGTGTGTCATTGCAGGCTGCCGACAACGAAAGCAAAGCCTGTGAAGAGTGTTAGTTTTGTACAGAAAATGAAACTTCAAATACTAGGTTTATGCCCAGGAATATTTAGACTTACTATATATTGACCAGGTCTACCTGGTTTCTGGTCAGTGTTCTTCTAGCACAGTCTGAAGGTCTACACTCTTAGTGAAACGGTACCTTTTAATACACCCCATGACTAACTCCCAGGCTCCTGGAAAATGCCGGATTGCAATGCTGTAATAGTTTAAAGGACAGAGGGCAACAAAGTGCAACCGTTTATCAAAATTCCCACCACTTAGATTACTGCACCAAAAGGCAAAAAATGAAAAATCAGCACACTAATCATCTCATTTGGCATCTTAGAGCGTCTGTCTCCGCAACAAAGGAACCGACAGACCCACTGCTGTGAATTTCCCCACCAGCAACGTAGCAATCAGGGGCTGTTAATCTGCTCCGGGCTGCCTCAGAAAGAGCAGTGTCATTACCATGAGCGAAGGCGTACTTGTCAACATGTGACGCCGAGACACGTCTTGATCATCGGGGGCTGAGAATGCCATAAGTCCTGCCAGACGAGGGCTGTAAAGAGCGGGGAAGGAAATTTAAAGAATGAGGCTGCACATGACAGATGAAGAAACGACAGTCGCAGAAATGAGAGAAGATCACTAACCTATGCGGTTTGCACGGAGAGCCACAGATAGATATTGGGTTATGTAACGCCAGGCCTACATTTCTCGGCAAGATTTACCGGGATAACGTGACCACGATCTAGTTACGTCAGTCTTAATTACCATGATATGGTTACGCCAACTTGCCGTAAGGTTGCTTGTTAAAGGAAGGCCGATTAATAATAACATGAACAACAATAACAACTTTACTGGACTACAAGTTAAAGCATTTCAACATAACCAAGGGCAACCAACGGAAGAAAGACCAAAGCTGACTTTTTCACGTGAAAAGAACAAAAAAGACGTAGAATGGCGTCGGGGAAGATTGATTGTGTCAAAGTGCCCCCCCCTCTCCAAAACTCAGTCATCCAGTCCAATGTTGCGAAACAGATACGACATAGACTCCCCGTTGTGAATGCGGCGGATGGCTTCAGACAGAATCATGCTGATGTCCACGGTCTTGATCTTGGGGCAACGTAGCTTCTGGATCTCATGGGGGATGGTATTGGTCACTACCACCTGCCAAGGACGGGGGAGGACAGGGAATAGTAACTGTTACCTCCCACCCTCCCCAATATGTCCTGATCCAGCTGCTGAGATGAGCCCAAATCGCTGAGCTTGCAGAGTATCAGAGCCACATGTTTAAAAATAAAAACTCAAGTTAGAGCAAATTTTTAGATACTGAGTAACTTCATGTAGCTTCTGGAGTAAACCAAGTACCAGACAAATATGCACCCAGATTCTGGTAGCCCATTCTCACAGTATGGTGGCACAACCCAGAGACCCCACCCCCACCCACGTCAGGGACCCATCTCACCTCGTCGATGGCAGACTCCTCAATTAGGCGAGGGGCGTCCGAGGACAGGATGCCATGCGTTGCCATGATGAAGATCTTGTAGGCCCCCCTCTCTTTCAGAGTCTCTGCGGCGGCCACAAAGCTGTCCACGTCATCAATGATGTCATCCTGCAAGGCACAAAAGAGCCATGAAAAGCAGACGAAAGACCACGCCGCCCCCCCCAGCTGCAGTAATGTCACAAGTGTCACGAATTCTGGATTTACAGCTCACCACGATGATGGCGATCCGGCCACCCACATCTCCCACCACCGTGATCGGCGGCTTCTCCTTTGGGATCAGCACTGGATATCAGAACAGTAACCATAGCGCAATTAGCCCGCCTGTGCAGCAGGTGGCGCTCTAGCCGAGGAGTTAATGTATTGTATTGCAATGCTGTGCTCGCATAACACAAGGCAAACAGATGAGGATAGTAAGGTATATCTCTCACAGGGGATCTCCAGGCTGGGGTGAATGGCGGCCACGTTCTTCACCATGGGTGGGGAGTGGCGTCCATCCACCAGGTCCGATTCGGCATCCTGTGCCTCGCCATGGATCACCGCGATCCCGAGCCGCAGCCTCTCAGCAAAGGACTGCGCCCTGGTGGGGCCAGGGGGGGGGAGGGGGGGGGGTAGGTTTATAGTTGAAGGTCAGGTCAGGTAACTGCACACGGTAAACACTGACTTCGACAGCGCATTGTACGGATACGGACTGCCAGTACCAGACACACACACCTCAAGACAAAAAAAAAAAAGAAAAACACAAATTTATCGTTGGGCAGGGCTGCAAAGGAGAAGATTACCTTTTGGCAGAAGCTGGAGATTTGGCCACAATTACCGCGTTTCTATAGTCGGGGATCTGCGAGCGTCAAAACAACACAGGTCACGTCAGCAGAAGGCGCCACAAAGGCGAGAGCGAGGCCTCCCTACCCTGCAGAAAGCGCAGGGCCGCGGATGGAAGGCTCGTACGAGGGAGGGGACGGCGGGAAGGCTCAAAGGAAGGCGTTTATGAGCGGGCACGACGCCCACTCCACTGCCCGGGGGCACCGCACCTCCTCCTGGATGTACTGCAGGAGGAACGGAGAGGCACGCAAATTGTCCACGGGGATGTTGAAGAAGCCCTGTATCTCCTTCTGGTGCAGGTCCATGGTGATCAGATGGGTCAGGCCTTAGTACAAAACAAACATAGCAGCGGTCACCGATCGGCAGGGGGGGGTTGTCGGTGGCTATGGCTAGTGGCATACATAGTGGCATAGATTAGTAGCATACATATTCCAAAGCTGAGACTTGTAACCACTTGCAACCAGTGCAGCAACCAAAAGCCTTCTCTGCCATTTCTCATGGCACCATGATGTAACCCCCCCCCCCCCCCCTTCCAGGGCAGGAGGAGACCTAACCCGCTTTGCACATCATAGAGGCCAGCAGCTTGGTGACGATGGAGCCCCGCTTCCTCATCTTGCATTGCTTGCTGTACGGGAAGTAGGGCACTACGCCGGTGATGCTGTGGGCGCAGGAAGTGCGGCAGGCGTACACCATGATCAGCAGCTCCATGATGGTCGTGTTCACGTCCCTGGGGTAGCACCGACAAGCGCCTGGTGATATACACTACACATTCACCCCCTCCCCAAACCCCCATCTCTCTGCTGCATGGATGCATGCATAATAAAACGTGTCTCATACACAGCACAGCGTCTTACAATATAGTATTTCATTTGATTTCATAAGCTAAATGTGTGGGTTATGGCAGCGAGCAAGACTGAAGTGAAACACTGCCCTCTACAGGCCAGTGTGTGACGTAGCACCAGAGACCTACCTGGAAACGGTCTGGATAATGAAAACATCTTTGCCACGCACAGATTCCTGGATCTGCACACGAGTCTCTGGGGAAACAAGGAAGGGAAAAAGTGACACCCTCCCCACTCACTCCTCCGCCCAACAGGCATATCTATATGGGTGGGGACAGAGGGTGGTGGCAGCATGTGACAGAGAAAGTGTGCAATGCCAATTCCTCATTTTCGTGCACCACATGCAGAGAGTGATTACATTCACACCACACATCCTATGCTATTCATGTACACAAATTATAAACATACAGATACTGATTATGACAACTGAGGCCTTTACATGCTGAATGTCACACAGCAGCAACAACGCATTTCCAAGCCAAGCCAGGCTGAACAACACCCACCTCGGTTGGCCTCCTGATACACCTGCACCTTGCCCAGCTCGACCCCGAGACGCCTGCAGGACGCGAATTGAACCACAAGCATGAGGCGAATACAAGAGTCCAACCAGAAGGAAAAAATACTAACAAGCTTTAATAAACAATGGGCCGGCAAGGTAAATACAGCAGACTCTCTTCCTCACCGTAACAAAGGCGTAACTACGCAACGTTTTATTTCTGACTTGTGCCACATCATTTTAACTATATTTAATCGAAGGCAATTTTTTTATACCACACATTTTAACCTCACGTAAGACAATAACCCACTGTAATATACTCTCACTGGCCACATTATTAGGTACACCTGTTCCACTGCTTGTTTAAGCAAATATCTAATATGCCAACCATAGGTCAGCAGCGTAATTTTTACAATGTAGATACAGGTCAGCAGCTTCAGTTAACGTTCACGTCACCAGAATGGGCAAGAGAGTGACTTTGGCATGGCTGTCGGTGCCGAAGGGGCTGGTACAAGAATGTCAAACTGATGACCTGCTGGGATTTTCACACACAACCATCTCGACGGTTCACAGAGAATGGGCTGAAAAAGAAAATATCCAGTGAGTGGTGGTAGTCTGGGTGAAAATGCCTTGATGATGACAGAGGCCAGAGAAGAATGGTCAGACTGGTCAAAGCTGATAGAAAAGCCACAGTAACTCCAGTAAGTCCACGCGTTACAACCAAGGTATGCAGAAGAGCTTCACTGAACGCACAACATGTCAAACCTTGAAGCAGTTGGGCTACAGCAGCAGAGGACCAACCTGGGTGTCCCTCCTGTCAGCTTAGAACAGGAAACAGGCTACAGTGGGCATAGGCTCACCAAAATTAGACAATGCAAAACTGGAAAAACTCAGATTAGTCTCGATTTCTGCTACGATATTGACATGGTCGGGTCAGAATTTGGCATAAACAACATGAAAGCATGTATCCACCCTACCTTGTGACAATAATTCAAGTTATTGCTGCTGCTGGTAGTGTAATGGTATGTGGGATATTTTCTTGGCATACTTTGAGCCCCTTAATACCAACTGAGCATTGTTCATATGCCACAGCCTACCTGAGTCTTGTTGCTGACCATGTCCATCCATTTATGGCCATTTATGATTTATGACCCAGCTTCTAATGGGTACTTCCAGCCGGAAAACACGCCATGTCACAAAGTTCATGTCATCTCAGACTGATTTCTTGAACATGTCAATGAATTCACTGCATTCAAAGGGCCTCCACAGTCACCACATCTCAATCCAAAAGAGCACCTATGGGACGTGGCAGAATGGGAGATTCGCATCATGAAGGTACAGCTGACAAATATGCAACTGTGTGATGCTATCAAGTCAACATGGACCAAAGTCTCTGAGGATTTTTTTCTTGCACTTTATTGAATTTATAGGTACCAGCAAGGTGTACCTAATAAAGTGGCCAGTGAGGGTACGTGTGTGTCTCTTTGCTAAGAGTTTGAATTGAATGATGCCACACAGTTGTACAGCTCCACCCTCAAAGTCTCCAAGTCCCAGGGTTGAGTAGTTCCACAGGGCTGGACTGGGATTAAAAACTGACCCTAATCCCCCACATTAAAACTTTGCTGAATTTGAGGGGGTGGGGGGCATGATAAATTGCCATCCCTGCAAAAGTCTCACTAAGTCAAAATACAAAAGCCCTGCTTTTCCTAAATACATGCTCAGAGACCATTCTCATCATGTGCACCATACGCACTCAGCAATCCTTTTTCCCAGCTCCCTGCCCGCAGGATTCGAGTTCGCTGTGAAGATGATCAGGCCCCCCTTGGTGACGTTCATGACTCCTTGGGTCTTGTTGTCAGCCTCTTGAGAAGGTGGCTCCCTGGGCTCCCACGCAAGGCTGAACCCTTCCTGCAGAAAAAAAAAATCGAACTATTACTCTGTCATAGAAACTAGGTTCTCATAATAAAGGCTGTTCAAACATCTACAATTCAAAGTAGATGTAACATGATACGCTGGGTTCAGTGCTCTACCAGAACAATTTCCTCTCAATTTAATAACATGAAATCTGGGCAGGGATATTTCTATAGTACTTCTCCTCCCTCAGTTTCTGTCATTCGCAGCCTTACGTGCTGTTTCGATCGTGATTAAAAAGGACTGGAATTTTCTGGTAGGGGAGCTACAGCAACAAGTTGCGCAGTTTTGCATTAACAGCAACACAGGAATGTATCTTTTATCATAAAAGTTCCTGAGACGCCGTGCTTCTATCTCCAGATTCTGGTCAGGCCTCTTTAGCAAATAACTAATAGACGCAGTGAAAAAACACTGGATTCAATCCACGTCAAGCTTATCAAATAGCATACTTGGGAAAATTGAGTTGTTAGATTCATTTCTTGGTTAAAAATGCCAAACAAACCAGCAAACTAGAACCCATTCTCCTTTAACACTAAAAATATTATGCTTGCACATCTAACAAACTCTCCAGGAAGATTTCTGCACTTTAAAAAAGAATCTCTACAAAACGACAAAATTGGTAAGCAATATAAATATTACTTACTTACTTAAAACACTGAAATTAATTCACCATCATAAAGTTATTCTGTGCGTGACACAAAAGCCTGCGGTGGCGTTGCTCCATGGACATGTGCGCATTTGTAATAAACACAAATCTGGTGACGCTTGTGATTTCCGGTTAATATCCACCAATAAACGTTACCTCTACCTTTACCTTTCTTCCCCTTCGTTATGAGCCGTCTTTGCGGTAAAAACTAAAATAATAATAAATCACATTTTAATCATTATCGCTATAAAGGACATTAAACCTCAGTCCATTTTTACCAGCTATTTCTTTCTGTCGCTCCCTGTCCCGTTCCAGCCCACCCTCCGCCTCCCGAACCTGCCGGGCCTATCATTTATGATTGGCGTCAGCTTTGACCAATCAGAGCATGGAGCTCTGATGACGCAATCGTCCAATTTCCAAAGAAAAATGGTTTCGGGGGGAGAAAGTGAAAGCGATTCAATCGAGCAATTACGCCAGCAACATGGATGGGGAAAAGATGGGAGAGCCCTCACCTCGTTTCCGTGTGCGCCTTCCACCGCCATGCAGAGTCCAGCAGGGAGATTGTTCAGTACTGTGTGCCCTGCCGCCAGGAGGTGGGCATATTCGCGCTGGGATAAATACGATCACGCCGTGTTTCAGCGCTGCTCCAGCAGGATGAGGGTGCTGTGCGCTCAGAGGCACTGCGCCGCCTGCTGGGAGCAGCTGGGCGAGGTGTTCAGCTCTTCATATAAAAAAAAATAAATCAAATAAAAAAAAAATTCTGCCATTGCTTTTCTTTTATTTTTAGACTATCCGTTATCTTTACATGGTAAAATGTTCACTGCTTATAAATGTATCCAGCAATTTAAGTTGTTGCACACTAGGTTGCCGTACATTCCTTGAGAAGTATTTAGAACTTATTTTTTATACCAATTACGAGTTATTAATTTTATGTCTAGCACTTGAAAATTCGGCTCAGAGGTGGCACGACAGTTTATCTGTCTCATGGGCGGCGCCGCCATTAAATCTGAGGCCATTTCATAATTATTCGTTTGGACCCCCCCCCCACATTTAACATAAAATATTAGTTTTATGCCAGTGTGCCCCCCCACCATTCAAAATGCTTCTGACGCCCCTGATCTGTCCGCTATAACTTATGTTCCGCTTCAGTCACTCCCTTTATCTGATCATCTGATCATATATCTGCTTTTTTACTGCTGCCGATCATTTCAATGATCCTTATCACATTAAACTCTCAGTGCTTGTCCTGACAATTAAGCACGCATTTGTTAGACCTGTTCTCTGGAGTTTCTCGTAACGTAGGTATGTATGTGTCTTGCCACACCTTTTCCTGTATTTCGTTGTACTTTTCCTTATGTTTTTCTTGTTAACATACTGTAAATTGTAGTCAGGCATCACCCAAATTACCGCGTCTCCTACTTATATATAAGTATATATATAAGACCCTATTCCATTTACCTGTTATTGTCCATCGGTTTAGCTTTGCATTTTATTTCATTTAATTTCATTTTGCCACCTCAATTCTCCTAAACGTTTGTATTTGTATGTATTTTAACACAATGTCTTTCAATGTGTTTACCTTGTCCACTGTATGCGATTTTTTTTGGGGGGGAGGGGGGGACTAAAGCCACCCTATTTTTGTCTCAGCTCGGCCTGAAATGTATTATTCTAAATCAATTTAGCCATGTTGTCCCGTATTTCTTCCTCAGCCCCCCTCCCTCCCCCTCAAAGGTCAAATGCTACAATCACCTCAGGCTTTTTGTGTTTACTGTTTCTGTGATTGTCATTAGCCTTCAGATCCTGCTTTTTTTGTCGCGTTCTTGTTTTTGCTTTGACTTTCAGACTGCATGACCAGTGCCGTTTGAGATGCATCTAGCTGTTTTGCTAATCATAGGCGCATGCGCACCGCATCCAACCGCTGTCCTTGTGACAGCAGTATTTTTGGTGCGGTTCTAATACGCTTGCAGAGTCAGCTTCCTCAGAGCCTACGTACTGGATGATACATCAGTGCTCTTATTAGTTTCCACGAACACATTGCGATGCATTTTTTTGTTATATTGTGTGCGTGCGTGTTTTTTCGCCGGAATAGCCACGTGGTTTGACCAGCTTGAGTGTAACCAGAAATACGTATTTATTTCAGGGACAGTATGATCCAAGCTGCGTTGAGGTGTTGTGCAAAAGCACTCAGTGTGGGTTGGCATTGTGCTGCCTGTATTGGGGTTAATAGCTAACCTGTCGCTTTATCCATCCATCCATCCATTATCTCCCTGTCGCTTTACACACTTTACATTCCTCACTTCTCATTTTACACCCTCCTGATCACTTCCTTATGTAAACACACTTGATGATCCTTTATTTGTCTTTTGCACAAGTATTAGTTCAGGTCCCATCTTGCTTTCCATGAAACTCACAGACACATATGAAGGTGAGAGCAAGTTTGGGGAGGGGGGGGGGGGGGGCACAATGCCTAGGGGTTAAGGGCCTTGCTCAAGGGCTAACGGACATGTGAGTATTCTGCCAGAGCTGGGCCTCCGAACACAGAGGAGGACTGTCATGTTAGCAGGAGTCATTAAATTATTGCAGCAATGTGTTATGATGGTGGCTTTGGGCAATTTGTAGCACTTTAACATAAAGCAAAGGCAATCTCCTCTCACTAAAATGCCTATAACAAAGTGACACATAAAGTAATTATGTCATTTTTAAGTGGCCCCGCCTACCTGACCAGGGAGTTTATGTTTCAGTCTACAGTCTCCACTTTAAGGAGTAGTGGGAGATTATTCTGAAAATCTTGGCAGTTACAGGATTTGGGGCGTCGTTTTATTGTCACTCCCACATACCGATAAATATTGAAACATGATTTCATGTTGATTTATTATAATAGCTTGCTGTGTTCTGCTTTCAGACCTGAGCAGGAGTGGTACAGTCATAGGGACTTGGGTTGGCACGAAGCAGAGGGGAACCCAGATGAGAGCTCATAAAACAGACGCCACGCTGCCGGTTTTGTGATGTCCGTTACCCGGACAGTGACGAGCTGCTGAGGCACCTGCACACAGAACACTTTTTCTGTCACTTCTGAAATGCTGGTGGCATCCAGGACTACTATGGGTATATAGGCCAGCCCCCTCCCCAGCAGGCAGCAGTGAGGGGGCGGGGCTAGAACCGTCCAATGAAGCTGCAGAAGGGGACAGTCCCCAGGAATCAGCTGCTGCTGTATTTCTGTTCCGTGATTTAAAAGCAATAAGGATGACAATGTTCAGTTTGGCTGCCCGCAGTGATTACAAGTACCTGCGCGAGGACTTCCAGGAAAACCACTTTCTGTGTGAGGAGAATAAATACGCAGATGATTGATTACAGGGCCCACAGAGCAGTCTGTTAGCTGTACCCTTAGGTACCACATTGATATTTTTCGGGGAATGGATGCTCAATGGCTTTTCCTTATCCCAGTCAGGGAGGCATTGGGGCCTGGAGCCAGTCCCAGACAGCACAGGGCATGAAGCAGGGGTATACCAGTCTGTTTCAGGGCGCAGGTACTTAAACACATACAAGCACACTCTATAGATAGGTTCATAACTCTTAAACCCCCATTGCTGAAGGAGTCGGGCAACATTGCTAATCACTGAGCCACCATGCTGCCCATTTATTGTCAATATGTGTTGTTTTTGTGGAAGCGATTCTCCTGAAATGCATAGTCAAACACCGCAGATGGTGATAACTATGAAATATTTTGTTTGTCTGACATGTTAATGTGACTCTCCGTATTTAGCCATTTGGGTTTTGGGCCACAGTAGAAGTACTTTCTCAACAGTACAGCGACAGGCCCTGATCTGAGCACTGGTCATTTTCTCAGCTTGCTTGAGGTCCCGCCCCTTTTCTGCCTAGCCATTGGAAAACACCTCCTTCCAAGAGGGTGACTTTTCATCACTCATGTCCAGAATCCATCCCTGTTTTCCCCAAGGCAAGACTAGCTGTGCTTAGGGACATTGTGGCAATATGCTCCTCACAAGACAGCTACCACCTACCTCTGTCGCTGCTGCCCTCTGTTGGATGATCATCTCACTGCAGGAAGAATCCTACCACCAGGGTCCAAGTCACTTCCATAATGAAACCTAAGGAGTCGGTAATAATAGCCGACCAGGAATCCCCTATCATGGGCAAAAACTAACAGAGAAGATTCTGAAGAGGAGCCAGAAGAGGAATGACATCCTGGACACAGTGTCCTCTGCTAGTACAAAGACCCAGAGTGATAATATGAGTTGAATCTGGACAAACCAGCAGCTGGTGGTCAGAATTCCACACGTGCCCCATTTGCCGGCAGATGCTCACTACAGCTCGCACTTGGTCTGATTTGGACACGTGTGACTTCCCCAACAGCCTTATCACTGGCATGGTGACAGGTGCTCTTTGTTAACTGGTAGTAGCAGTGAAAGGCGGGATAAAACAAACATGGCGTTATTTATTCATGCATTTTTCTGTGGGTGGCTGTGTTTTCACGCTGTTTACAGATAAAGGGCATCTCTGAAGAGGTGCCAGGGAGCCCCGTGCACGTGTTTGTCAACGGTACAGTTTGGAAACTTGAGCAGAAATCTGTGCCGTTTTACCTCTAACAGATAAAGAGACTTATGCAGTCTGTCTTAGTCTTGTTGAAACTAATGGTGCGGTTTTGCAGCTTGTATTTCATTGGGGCACTTTAAATAGCACTTAAGGAACATGATTTGTGCTTTGTTACTGTATTCTCAATCAAATTTTATAAGCATATGCAGTTTAGAGAGAACCTCCAGCATTCAATGTGTATATTAGAATATTGATGTCAGTAATCCTGCATTATGAATATGGTGACATGGGGATTAAAGTCCCATGAAAAACATTTGGCCATATTTTGTCCAACTATAATGTGAAAATATAGCTATTTCCGAATTTATATCCGAGAAGGGAAATGTCCAAGTTCAGTGGAAGACGGGCTTATTTCTGCTGAATTAGGGAGCCATTTCCTGTTTGTGCAGCGGTGAGCAGCACCCTGGATGCCTGGTGCTTCTGTCCATCCACAAAGGAAGTCACTGCACAGCCACATGCTTCCACATGTTACACTGAAGTTCACAAATTCATCAATCCAATATCATTATTGCCTTTGCTATTTATTTTGTGGTGACAGAACAGATTTATTATTATTATTACTCTTAGTGGTAGTAGTACTAGTGGTATATTCATCAACCGGTATCTCAATTTTCAGATTTATTGAGGATTTCTTAGTAACATGTGCAGGGTATATAACTTGGCGGGGGGGGGGGGGGTTAAGCATTTTACACCTTTCAATTTGCTGATTGGTTATAAGGACTGTCTCTGCCATGATTTTGATTGGTGGTTTAATTTGGTTTAGTGATTTTATTGGTGATTTTATTCCTTTTTCCCTTGGGGACTTATTCATGCAGGCTCTTTCAAGCAAATTAATTGACCAGATTCTGTTCTGAAAATGCTAATTAAAACAGATATGATTGACCTCCATTCTTTTGTGTTGAGATCCGGAACTTCTAAGAATCTCTGAGGAAACTAGTCTGCAGCACAAAACATGTTAGACCCTGCCTGTGGGCCAGAGACCCTCAATTCTTCATCTAAAGGCCAAAAGTTTTCATCATAGCTGTATATTTCTGTCCTGCATGGCCATGAGACAGAAGGATGTGTGTCTGATTTTGAAAGCCAGGTTGACTCACTCTATAACTCTCATAAAAGTGTTCAGTTGGCCCTCAGGATGCTCAGTCAGCCGTTAGAGAGTCACCTTTGATTTTAACCCAATGCTACAGAGGAGGAATGATTTGACTGATAACATTACCAGAAGCATAAGGCAGTATTTTAATGGAGTACAAAATTTGCTACAATGGCTAATTCGAACATTTAACTATGACGTCAGGCTTCCTGCACCATCTCTCAGAAGAAAACGAAAATATTCCCTGCTGCCGCTGCCTTCTTCAGAACTGGGAGGGACTTCGCTTTCAAGCTGATGTTTTCCTGTAATTTCTGCTGCACTCCCTTCCTTAAACGAGGGGGTGGCGGGCAAATAAACAGAAAACCGAACCATTTGTCCTGATTTGCTGGGGTCAGTGGGTGTTCCGACGCCGCTCTGTGTATGACCGCCATCCACTTACACTGCAAGGCTAACGGCACCGACATCGTTTCACACTTTTTGGCATTTCTGAATTACAAATATGGTCAAGTAAATGAGTAAATTGATTTTTAAGTATCAGCAGCCTAGTGGGGGCTGTGATGGAGTGTATATGCTCTCCCTGTGTCGTCGTGGGGTTTCCCCTCGGTACTTAGCTTCCCCCCCCCCCCACAGGCACAAAACATCAATCTATTTTCTGTAACCGGTTGTACCATTCAGGGTTGCCGGGGGTCCGGATGGGCACAAGGCAGGGAACAACCCAGGATGGGGCACCAACCCACTGCAGGCCACACTCACACACGCCATTCACTCAAACACGCACACCTATGGACAATTTGAGGGGGGGGGGGGGAACCAGAGGAAATCCCACAATGACACAGAGAGAACATCCAAACTCCATACACATGGAACCAGCACAGGCACAGAGACTTGGGAGACAACAGGACTAACCAGTACACCACTGTGTTAGGTGAACTGGAGTTACCAATTTGTCTGTAGGTGTGAGCGCATGTGTGAATGGTGTGTGCCCTGAGACAGGCTGGCACCCTGTCCTGGGTTATTCCCTGCTTTGTGCCCATTATTTCCAGAATATAGGCTCCAGACCCCTGGGATTCCAAAGAAGACAAGCTGGTTGGACAGACAGCCGGGTAGCCAGTGTCCAGTGTGAGCTTATGTGTGGGATGACAGGAAGAGCAGTATCGTGAAAATCAGGCTCGTTTTCCCTCTTTTCTCTCCCGCTCGAGACCTGTCAGTGTCTCCATCCTGGACACCTGGATGGAATCCATCTTCTGGAACGCTGTGTACATAATAAACTTGCACTTCTACGACTCTGAAACATCACAGAGCTTGACAACTTTGCATAAATACATCTATATTTTTAGCTTTTTTTTTTGATAGAATGCATTACAGATCCTATAAATATTGCACTTAATCACAAATCATATGGATTGACACTTCCCAAGTATTTACCTTTAATGCACAAAACTGGTTTCATATCGTTCCAAAGATATATGTAGAATAACTGCTTTAATCGCTTGTCATTACATTATTGTGTTAAATTTATGAGATCTATTGAATATGACAGAAAACACCATACGCTAAACGTTTCCAGGACGCGATGACTGATGCTACCTTTCGTCTCTGGAGTCTCATTAAACAGTCTCCTGACGTAAACAGCTTCATGAACGCCTGAATGGTGGCTAAAAGAGGCAGTTTTTCTCTGGTAAAGGACCGGCAAATGGGGCATGTTGGAAGCCGTATGAATAAACGCCTGCTCTCTTTGTCATGTTGGCTGGTTATGGCAGGTGTTACGTGCATCTGCTTTAGTTGTACGGGCACAACCTTGCTTGTTTTTTACGTGGCTCTAGTTGTCACTTTAGGTTCACATGACTATCTGTGCGGACAAGACGGTCGTCATGCGGCCCCCTGAACATGTAGCAAAATGGACAGTTTTACCCATCTTGCATTCTATTGGTTTACCTCAGCCATGTGGGCGGTGCTTAGTGTTATATAAGGGGGGCATCCAGGTTGGAATGGTCTCTGAACTGTTTGTTGGTCTTCTGGGAGTCGGCTGTGTTTGCAGCACCGGTGCTACGGATGCACAGTATCGTAAATCTGCACACTTTCTATTGTCCCTAGTAAATCAGTAAATCAAAGGGTTGGGAGCTGAATGCATGCACATTAGGAGTAAAGGTACGCGCAGCAGCGGGGGATGCTGAGGGGCTTGGAGAACAAACAGATTTCATTGGATGGTTGCACTAAGGGATTGGCGGGGCTTCAAAAACAAAGACGACATATTCTAATGACCTTCATTGTGACTAAAATACAAAAAAAAATTGTGTACTTTAGCTCATCCTGACTGTAGATGTTTGCAGGTGAGAATGGCAGCCTCGGGGGGGGGGGGGGGGGTCACTCCTAGTAAGTGGGCACCTGGAAGTCCTTTGGGGCAGCGTCCGGGTTAGATGAGAACGGGGCAGTGTTGTAGATGTCTGTGGTTTCCACCGTGGCCTCGGGCGTCGGGTATGGCTGGCTGACGGGCTTCTCCTCCATGTGCTCCGTGGTGAAGAGGCTCATGTCTGTGCCCATCAGGTAGCGTTGCACCGCCCTGGCAGTCAGCCCGGCCTTAGACGGGATTAATGCTGTTAGTGAGGGGTTACGGGGGGGGGATGTGGGCGTGGCTTCCATGCAAATAGTCTAATAGTCCGTCTCCTTGACTTATAACCTGCTGAATGATCCCCCCAGGCCTCAACTGAACTAGAGACCCCTAGGGGTTAGTGTTAAAGCTCGCCCCCTATCAACCAACACACCTGCTTGCATGGAACCGCACACACCGGCCAGTGAGCTCCCAGTACGCCGAGGGACATCAAGAAGAAGTTAACCGGACCGTACAAGGACGTATGGGTGTTTGCTTTCAGAAGCAGGTTCTGTCATTAGGGGAGATGGCCTGAAAGCAATGATTGGCCATTTGAACAAGAGGCTACATTATGTAATGAGACGGCGATGTCTGTTCTTCTCCCTGACTAGATGGGTGTGGCTCTAATTGCCTGCCGGAAGGCTGTTTCATTATTTATCAGCTCCAGGCAGTGTTGGTGGGGGGGGGGGGGGGGGTTGGGGGGGGGGGGGGGGGCCCCGGGGCCCCCCC